TGTCGTGTTTATGTGGTTGGTGTGAGGAGCTTGAGTGTTTTTCCCCTTGCTATAAATAATGTTTACATTTTTGCCTCAAGCATTTTTCATGCTATCGCCTTAAACGATAAAACAGCCACTGAAGCCAGAGGTAATGTCTTTCATTAAGGCATCGACGAAAGGAGGAGAATATGAACGTGACGTCAATGCAACTGACACATCTTTGGATAAGGAGGAAGCAGAAAATACTTACTTTCCATATATACATAATTGCATTATGAGTTTGTGTATGATTGTTTCTGTTATCGGTAGTATCGTCTTCATGCAATTAATTGGGGCGTAACACTTGCTCAAATCAGAAAAAAAAAACGAATCCGCATCCATTTGAAATAAAGCAGAAATCACGATTAGTCTTTTTAAAAGGGTGCCATGTCTCCATACCCGAGCGTCACGATCCTTTACACAAACCGCGTTAGAGAGTAGATGTGAACGCGCATGTCACGGTGATCACGTACAATTCCTCTGAGGAGCATTTGTGAGTGCCTTTTTTCTCCAAGTGCTCTAAAAATAGTAACAGCTTGATCCAGAAATAGACAGGGGTATCACCCTCATATGCAGCCTTCGTTTTGAGGCATAAAAACACACCAGGACAGCACGTTATGTGCTCTCGTTGTGTCCTTGAGATATTTCCTTGTGTTATTGAGCGTTTCATTCAGTACTGACACAATGTATTTCTCTCATCGAGGGCTCCCTCCACCGGCGAGACCTCTCGCTCTCCTGGTGACCTCGGTTGCATGTTCTGGCGTGAAATATGTATTTCTGGACAGTTTTGTGGTCACTTAATTCAGCACGCGTGGGATTAGTTATCGCACGCATCATGTCAGGGAGTCACCCTGTTTGCATTCAGTGCGTGAAGCTGGAAGGGGATCACACTGGCGCTTGATTTAATAACGAAAACTCTCAAAAACGAGAACAAAGGTTGCCTGTTAATTTACGATTTTTATAATGCGTGGCTGAAATCACATTATGAAGCCTCTATAATGAAGAGGAGCTGTCCGCCATCAGTGGTGCTGAAATCCGTCGACTTTCACTCACAAAGTTGCAGCTATAGTGTCCAGTCCAGACCTGTACCAATGAATAAAACGGTTCTTTCATGTCCTTAGTCATGTGGAAATTGTTGTCTAGGTAGAGGTTTTTGGTCTTTATAGCCTGCTCCACACACTGAAGACTGCTTTTGTGCATCTGACCATTTCCTCAATAATTCAGTGTATCACATACGTTTAATAATTCATTCTTTGCACGCGATCCTGAGGTTAGTCGGATAACCATGCTGAAAACACCATCTTAAACCAGCCTAAGGTGATTTGCTGGTCTTAAGTCTGACCAAGCTGATTGAGATGGTCTCCCACCCTGATGAAAAACTAAAACCAGCTTGGGTCCCTTTAACAAGAACCTGTGAGAAACCACTGAACCTCAAGATCACGTAGATGGTGACACCTCAGTTTTTTTTTTTGTTTTTTTTTTTTTAAAGAAAAACTCCTCAATGATATGTGTATTAGCCAAAGAGTCAAAATCAGCAACGCGGATTTGTAAACATTCCGGTTTGTTTATAGACCCAAATGCGTGGTCTTTGTAAATCCAGCTCGTCAGACTAAACATGTAGCTGTAAAATCTCGGTCATACATACGGTTTTTGTTTATCACTTCAAAGAGCAATCAATTCTTCACGTTTGCCAAACGTATGAAGTGGGTAAGAGCCCAGCGCTCCTTGGTAATTCGTTTTTGGCGTGCGGTTTCATCGGAAACGGCACAGATTGGCGAGTCGTGACTGCTAAAATGAGTAATGCGCGTCGGCTGCGTCAGTAGGGGCAAAGCGCTGGGTGCCGGAGACAGATGGAGGGAATCGTGACTGACTGGAGACTTCCACAGATGAAACCACAACCTCATAATGTCACCACGAGAGCGCTCTCTAAGATTAGACTTAAATGTTAGGGTCTCGCTGTTCTCCCCTGTTACTCTCAGTCCTGACCTTGGAATCCGGAGGCAATTCAGAGAAAAGCGAGAAAAGCGATTCTACGCATTCAGAGAAAAGCGAGCGTAGGGCTGTCTGGTTATAGAGTTTATGTGTGCGTGTGTGCCCGTGAGGACGAGGTTATTTTTATGGTTGTGTGTGTGTGTTTGTGTGTGTGCGTGCGTGCGTGCGAGAGATGTGTGGGGTATCCAAATATAGCCAGACTCAGAGAATAATGTTCATTATTTTATGAGACAAGGAAAGGAGAAAGCTTTGGTGACTACATACCTAGTACACACGGATCTTGAGGAACTTGTGGTAAGTGTCCAGCTGGATCATTCTGATATTTATCGGCGGTGTTGATGCTTATTATTTGATACGGACAGATGCATTTGTATTTAAACGGACCATTCCAGATGCTTTGGCATGATACTCTTAGATTAACACCCGGTAAACAACCGAAACCTGTATAATATAACACTTTTATTACTAAGATATGTCATAGCGACGACAGGTTGGCACATTCGGATTAAAAAAGCGCGCTTTGCAAAGGCAACAATGAAGCAAATTTATTAAATGCATTTCGCACACTGGTGGAGAATTAGTTTTCTATAGTTTTCCTTTTTTCAAAAAGGGGGGTCCCTGTGTGAGAAGAGCACGGATTGGTCGAATGACGAGTTTTCGTATGCTCCAATGAAATCCTTCACTGCTCTCTATTTACTGTGAGCTGGAGCGCAGTAATTCCCCTCCTTCAACAGATCTATCGACTGACAGGAGTAGATCAGCTTTTTGCTTAACCACATCACGAACATGAGAATATGTACAGTATGGCCATAGGAAGGGCATCGGAGCACGGATAAAATGACGGTGCGCGGGCTCGGATGGGAAGGGAGTCGTACACTAGAGCGGATTCTGTGCATTTCTGCGCGAATGTGTAGAACTGGAGTCTGCTGCACACGGTCCGGCCATTGGCTACAACAACATGGACTGTTAGTAATTATGGACCAAGCCTGCAACTGAGATGTCACATTCAAAGCGTATGGAAAAGTCTTTCACGAATCTTGTTGCGGTCTGGGCTTGCTGTTCTCAACTATCAATGGGAAGCCCTTACCCCAAAAAGCATTTGCGGAGGGCACACACAGCGAATAATAGAAGAAAGCTCTCCCTTACTTCTGCTTCTCTTGGACTATCATCATACTTATCGCCAGAATGGCAAACGTTGCAATTCTGATGAGTGCTATGTGATTGTTTTT